CCCCTCCGGCTTCCTTCGCCGCCCCGCCCCCCACCACCACCACTGCTGCCTTTACCTTTGAGGATACCTTCCTATCTGACTAAGCTACAGCTCTTCCTGATACCCAGAGCTTTCCCACATTCTCGTCTCACGCTCTCCTCAGCCCACAGCGCTCCCATCCTGTGTGCCGGAAAGGTTCCTACTGCTTCTTCAATGCCTGCCCCAAGTGTGACCACCCATCCCTTAGCAATTACGTCTCCATGTTCTTCTACTCCTCTGGGCAAATTAATCCCCTCTTCCTAAACATCCCTTTTGTGCCTCCCAGCTCTCAGGGGACTGTTCCACCCAGGCGTGTATCCCTAGCTCCAACCACAGCAGCTTACACAGGGATGATGCTCCCCCTTCATGGTTAGGAACGGAGCCCAATCTTCTTGTTTCCTGTGCTCTTCGGGTCTCCTCTGCAGGTCCTAACTCTCTCGTGTGCGTGTGTGCATGCACATGTGTGCACTTCATCATGGCTAGGTGAAGAGGTTAATGCCGTCACAGGCTGATGACGCAATAAGGACAGAATCCTTACAGTAGGTCCCAAGGTTGTAAAACTAGTCACTTAGGTCCTTTTTACGTCTTGCAAAATTAATGTTCAGTGGTTATTTATTTACTCTAATGAGGAATCTGTGTTCCACTTGGCTTATGCCTCTAGAAGCTGTTGATGTCCTGTCAACTCATGTCTCAGCCTCTTAGGCAGTTTTCGTGACCCTAAATTATATATTGGCCCATATTCTTGACCTTGTGAGCAGCATCTGTAAGCTCGTGAGAACGAGAACCGTGTCTCTCTGCTAACCCTGGGCAAGCAAGGAAGCGTCTGGGTGTTCAGTGACCAGCTCCATTCGAGCTGATTAAAAAGAGGAGGCATTCGCTACCTTACAGGATGCAGGATCTCCCCAGTGGCAAGTATCTGCAGACGTCTTGAGTGGGCACTTGAGACAACAGGAAAGTCATTCAGACTTTAGGAAAAGTCAAGGAGGAACCCCAGCACATGCACCTTAAAACTGATGCAGGAGGCAAACGGACTCCGTGATAGTAGCACCCCAGTTAAACATTTTAGAAAAGTGGGGTCAGTGGTAAAGGCACTTGCCACCAGGCGGAAGTTCGATCTCTGGGTCTCACATAGTGAAGGAAAGAACCAACTATTACATGTTGTCCTCTGAACTCCACACGTGCACTGTAGCACACACCCCGCCATCACACATACAGTGTGCGTGTGTGCTTGTGTGTGTGTGTGTGTGTGTGTGTGTGTGTGTGTGTGTGTGTGTATCACTTTCAGAAGTGATGATCTCTAGAAAGCCACAAGGTTGTCTTAATTCAATAAAAACATAGTTTCAAAGACTTGAAAGAAGAGGACTGGAATCCCATAAGAGTTTGTGCGGCTCCGATCTGAAGGAAAGGGTTAAGGAGAATCTCACGCATCGGGAAGAAGTATTGAACGCGGTGGAGAAGACAGATGAGAAGAAAGAGCCATGAGCCGTCAATGGCAGAGAAGCAACAAGGGGACCCAGGGCACAAGGAGGGAGGCACTCTCTTGGGGTGTTTGTCGGGGGCAACCCACAACGCGGGAGCCAAGAACCTTCGCACCTACCTACCGCAGAGACCTCCTACAAGGAAGTTCTCCGCCCGTAGGAAAGGTCATGGTAAACAAAGCTGGAGACTTGGCTGGGGAAGTGTTAACTGAGTAAGAAGGAAGTTGAACAACCCTTGAGAGAAGGGAGAGAGAAAAGACCCTGTTTTTCTTCTGAGGATGGTACAGGAGACAGGAGGGTGGAAAGCATCCCTAGAAGGGGGAGCCCGCAGGATGCCTGCACTCTGGTTGCTCTCCCTGGCTCCAGACTCTCACTTTCTGACTCCAGATCAAAGCCGTCTGGCCACCCCATAATAAAGGAAGTCGAGTTTAGCATTTCAGACCTAGCAGGCTGTCTCCACTCAGTCAGCACTAATCCGGGGCGGCTGCTGAGCAAACACCCTGGGGCATGCATACTCAGACTCTGAGGGTGAATGCCTGCCCCGTGCTAGAACGGATCTGATTTCAGCATCTTGCACAGTGCAGGTGAGATGAACATGAGTCTTGGCATAAACGAGAAACGTAGGGCATCGGCCTTGGAGCCTGAGTTAACTTCGCCTCGGGGAGACAGGAATAATGGGACGTCGGCCTGCCAAGGTATCTGGTTAGAGGCCAGGGGGGCTTCACACCCCAGCTCCTCCCCCTCTGCCTTCAATTTGGTAGCTTGTGCCAACAGGGACAGTAAGCAGCCTTGCTTCTCGGGCGACATTCGGATAGGACCTCTGTGGCTGAGCTCTGACGCCTCCCATCTCTATACCTATTTGACTTTTGTTTGAGTTTCTCAGTCCCTTGCTGGAGACGTTCTTGACTGTCTGCTCTGGCAACTGTTGTTTATTATAAACTTAAAACCCAGGGTGACACCCCTGGCTCTCTATAGCTCCTGTTAAAGGCATCACAAGTGTTCCTGCCATGAGGTGGCCCCGGGGCCCCGAGGGGTTGGCAGAATAATCAGGCTGGTTTTCTCCTCTGCACATCACGCGGGAGGTGAAAAGTTCAAATCTGGATTTGGATCTAACGACGTGATGTGGAAAAGGACAGTAATCACGTGACGCGGCTTGCGTCAAGGCGCCTCACTTTTAGGGGCCTGGGTTAGTGCAGCACACGTTTCCTCTCTTGTAACGAAAGTTTCCCCTCCGGGCAAAGGTTTAGAGGGTGTTCTCACGGGTGACCAAATGCCATGTGCCACTTCATGAAGCCACCCCACAGGGGGTGAGGGGAAGTGCTAAGGTGAGCAAGGAAGCCCATGAGCCAGGGAGTAAACCCTCCCATAAGAAGGGTTCAACCAGACGTTGTTCATCCTGGTTCTGAACCCTGCCTGTCCTCCAAGAGGGAGAGCCCAGGGTGGGTGGGAGAGCCGAGGGTGGGTGGGTAAGCTCCTGGAGCAACCTGTTGGAGGGAGCTTCTCTACAAATCTAAATCTTACACCGACTTCAAGCACAGCCAGTCCTGAAGGACCTAAGGCTGGTCAGGATAAGCCAGAGAGGCCCGTCTGGTCCCAGAGAAACCACCAAAGGCTGGGAGAAGGCAGGTGTGGCTGAGTTTTACCTTATCTCTGCCCTTCCCCCCATCTCTGTTGCCCACCACCACACCAGGAGCAGGGACCCACACTCCAGGAACATAAAGGAACCTCTGGTGGCGTTTAGGTCCCGAGGCTCCACTGTGTCCCCAAGCACCCTCCTTCCATTCCAAACTCTCTCATTCTGTCTGTGTCTGTCTGTCTGTCTGTCTGTCTGTCTCTCTCTCTCCCAGAAAGCTTGGGCCCATTTCTGAATGTCTTAGTACTCACTCAATGAAGGTGGAGACCCCTCAGCCTGACTCCCAGATGGCTGAGGCCCACAGGCCTCCCTTACAGAAGCCTGGCTTCCCTAAGCATTCTCTCCAGGCTCTAGGGCAAAGGTTCTATCTCCTGGGATTAATGCTTTGTCTACATGCTAGGATCCCTATCTCAGGTCAAGGTCCCCAGCCCTGCCTCCCTCAGCCCCTCTGAGAGGTCCACCCCACCAAGTTCAGAGCAGCTAGGCTCAAAGCCACACTAGAAACCGGATCGATTCTCCCCCCACCCCCACCCCACCCCCGAGATAGCCAGGGCTACTTCGAGCACGCGGAGTAGGTGATCCAGGCTCACAGAGAACATAAACACTAAGACAGGAGGTGACCTGGCCTGTTTCCAGACCCACTCTCAACCTTACAGTCATAAACACAGAGGCCAGACTGTCCACCTGGTAGCTCTGGTCCCTGACTCGCCTGAGCCTAAGCATGAGGCAGCCCTGCTTTGTTAGGGAATGCTAATGGAGGAGTGCATGTGCCCGTCCCAGCCTATCACAAGAGTCCTGGGTGTCTCTCTCTCTCTCTCTCTCTCTCTCTCTCTCTCTCTCTCTCAGCTCAGTCATGAATGCCGCCACTGCCACTTCCCAAGAGCGAAAGAGCGAGCCATCCTGTCACCCCTGCCTGGGAAGCCTTGCCAAGCAAAGTAGCAAAGACTTGTCAGTCAGGGTCCCACAGCTGCTCGCCCAGCCCCACCCCCATCCCCGTAGGATGGCAGCAGCGAGTGTGTGGCTTCTGAGTGGATGCTGGAGGCCGACAAAACAGGTCCAAAGTCATTCCTCCTACGTACAGCCATGGGACCGAGTTTAGGCACATCACCCCCGTACCCCGGGTCACCTCAGCTGGTCAGTGGCAATGACAACGGTATCCACACCAGGGGGCTGCTGTGGCATGGATGGCAAGGTGTGCCACCGGTGTGTGGCGAATCTCTGGCACATGCCAAGAGAATTGGGTGTCTACTGTTGGGGGCCAACCAAGACCGCCATGACCATGCCAAGAGGCGGGGCCCAGAATTCCAGCCCACCTACAGTGTGATCCCACCTGGAGCCACAAGGCTCCAGGATGATGATGCCGGGCAGCTAGCTAGTTGGGGCAAGCTAGGTAGGGCAGCATGGTCACCCTCCCAATGTACTGTCACTACATGGCGTCACTCAGAGAGCACTATCCCTCTGTCCCACCTAGGAAGCTGGGGAGGCAGAAGCAGATGCTAAGCCAATGCTAACCTCTACCACTACCTACCACGCTGTGGTCCGGGACCACCTCTTCTTTCTGTCCTGCAGCGGAACCACACACCACTATGGCACTGTGCCAGGGGGTGGGGGGGATGGGGGGTGGGGGGCACCTTCTCCGGGGACTCACAGCAGCTAAGACCTTCACACTGTGTGAGCTGGCTCACCTCTCCCCATGGAACTTCCCCCCAGCACCCCTGCTTTTGGTGGGGACTTTCCTTCTGCGTGGAACCCTTGACTTTCTTGTTCAAGGTCAACATGACACACGCAGCTCCACACTGTTACCCGTGAACACGGATCTTCTTATCAGGACGCACGTGACTTCTACGTGCCTTCAGAAAATCATGCCATTAAAAACTTCCCAAGGCCTAAAATGCCCCCCCAAAAGTGCAAATGTCCCCAGAGATCTCCCCACCCTCATCGCCTATGTGCATGATCCCTCTGAGGTTACTCTGAGTCACAAAGCGCAAATGTCCCCCTGTTGCCAGGATACCGAGCCTTTCCTGGGGGGGGGGGCGCCTCTCAGTATACACAGTGACTCTGGGACACTGGCCAAGGGAGAACTCTTGAGGACTATGGGGGTGGCTCCTCCCTCTCCCCACGAGGACCCTGGGAAGAGTGTTTACCTGTGCCGTGAAAAAGGCTGGAGTGAGGGATCCTGAGGGGAGGGCTGGGCTGTTGAGGGCGATGGAGCCGATGTCGGAGCCGGAGAGCAACAACTGAGGTGCAGAGATTTCCAAGCCTTTGGGTTTTTTGCCTTTTGGGGGAAGAGACGGAGACTTGGTTTTGGAGCCCGATGACAGATTCAGGGGTTCCAGAGAATCCGAGTCATGGCAGGCTGCCTCGAGGAAGAGGCTTCTGTGTTCGGAAGGGAGGGGAGAGTTGGGGGACAGGGATGGGGACCGCGATGAGGAGGGTGACGCAGACGAGACGCTGGCAGCATTTGGCAACATTAAAGAGGAGATCTTGGCCGAGACAGACGAAGCCAGGAAAGCGGACGCTGCCGCGGCCTCGGATGTGGAAGGCAGGGACACCACAGGTCTGGTGATGTGCTTGTCGGTTTTATTGGTCACAAACCTGATCACAGTCCTGACTTCTTCCACAGGGGGGCTGTCGTCACACGGCTCCTCCTCCAGCTTCTCCGTCTTGATGGCCTTGAAGGCCTCAGGAGGGTTCTGCAGGGAATTGATGGTGAAGGAGGAGTACAGGCCGGAGTGGATGTATTCGTTTCGGCTTGTGCTTTTGAGGGCGGACAAGCCATGCTTGTGGGCCTCTCGGCCTTCGGGGGACACCTTACAGTCGCTGTCCTGCAGCAGGAGGCTCTCCCGGCTGATCTCCACCGCGTGAGGATCCATTTTTAGGATATCCGGGAAAGAGACGAACTTGTACACAAACTTCTGCCCGATCACTTTCTTGATGATGTTCTGTGAAGACAAAAGCAGACACTTAAAATGGGTGAGCCGGAGACAAAGAAGGATGAAAGGTTGAAAGCCGAAGCCCCCAAAATATTCCTGATGTCCACAGGGTAGCTAAGAGGAGTGACGTCAGAGGTGGAAGGTTCCATTTGCACTTTGGTCCTGCTGCCCAGGAGTGCTGTGCTCTCCAGCCTTCGGCCACTTTCTCATTTGTATTACTGGGATGATTTTGTAATAGCAAAAGCTACCCGCTGAGTTAGCAGGGTATTGTGTGGCTGGGACGATTCACACCTCCGCTCACAGAATCTGCACAGTAACCCTACAAGCAGGGTTTGTCACCCTTGTGTTACAGTGGATGAAGGGTGAGGACCGCGTTTCAGATCGTCAGCGTCCACGTAAACGCTGGCCAGCATCCGGGATACAGGGGGTCTCCAGCGCAAGAGCTGGCTAGCGAGACTAGCTTGAATCCTCGAGCTCCATGTTCAGCCAGAGTTCCCGCCTCAGTAAGTGAAGTGGAGAGTAACCAAGGAAGACATCTAATGTCAACTCTGTGCCTGCACACACATGCATGTGCCTGCACCCACATACCATGTATGCCCAGACATGCATGCACGCCACACATGCAAACACCAAAGGTTCTAAGAATTAGGAAATCAACTTTCAGCACTGCAGTGACTCATACAGCAAGAGAGAACTTCCTTCACCCTAAGACAGTACTGTCTTACCTGCCTCTGGGCGAGCACAATGAAATTGTAACAGGAAAGGACTTTGCTACAAAGCGTCAGAGAAATGTGTGTTATCGCTACCCGGCAACACAACATTCTTTTCAGTCCCGCAGCCTTTTCTGGGAAGAGAGCCACTGGAGGGAAACGAATTGCCTACTTTTGGATATTTATGGCATTCCTTTCATAGTCTTGGTTGCTAGTGTCTACATTCGGCTCTTCAGTCCCTCTAACATTAGGATGTAAATGAAAGAAATGAAAATCACTGTCAAGGCCCAAGTTTTCCCAGCCCATGAGAAAGTGGATTTTATATGGAAGGCTACGCTGTTCTTCAGGCTGACGGAGCTGGGAGAGCAGTTCTGCAGAACCGACCCAGTTCCATGTCTGTCTGGCAAACGCTGGCTGCGGGTCTTGCCCCGTGGTTGACTCTTAAGTCCTGGGTACTCCAGGGAAAAAAGATGGCTTCCCTCTGGTTCAAACAGCCAGCATTATTCTATGGAGAAAGGACCCTGAAGGTTTCCTTAAAAGCCCTTCCTCCTCAATCATGTAAGATAAATCATCTGAGGAAGAAGCACTCTACTGACTGGGTCACAAGTGCAGCTATCTGGTGTATAAATCCCACAGCAGCGCACAAGGAGGGAGGAAGGCGGCATCCTTCCCCTGTCAGAACATGGGAATGGAGCCACAGGTCCAGACTGCCAATATCTTCTGGCGCTAAAGCCAGAACCTGTCCACATTTCCACACGGGAGTGCGGGGGAGCCCAGTACCCCAACAGAGAGATCTCCATGCGTTCTGACCCTCCTTGGGTGGTCATGGCTCATTCTAAGTATGAGCATGTTAGCTTTTTGCCTGCTAGGTTTCCATTTTTTTTTCCCATCCTTTCAACAATAGGAGAGAAGCACCCCTTTGCCCGGCACTGAGATGTTCAACAAGAAAAAACCTGGGGCAGGTTTTTACAGGAGGCGTGCAAGGTCCCTATGCAGGAAATCCCAAACACATGAGCCCCAGAGGGAGACCTTGCCCGGCACAGCACACAGATGCTCCCTTGCCTAGGGACAAGTCAGATGAGCATCAACGTTGAACGGTCCCATGGCTGGTGTGCTGGTGCTCTGGCCAGCAACTCGCTACCACCACCCCCCACCCCCCAATCCCGTGACTCTGGCTGACCTCACTCCCACGTCTCACGCTGGCAAATCTTCAGAGGAATGGGGGGAACACAAAGATTCCACTAGCTGCTTGAGGTGGGGGCATCTCTACTGAGAACTGTACCAGGCTGGATAGAGGCCATGCCAGGAAAACCAGCTCCCCCCCCCCAAGAAAAGATTAAATAGGGGGAGTCCTGAGCCTGCCTGACCCAAGTCAGGTGAACAGCGTGGGGATTACGTCTGGATAAAGCTGTTTCCTAAGAAGAATGTGGAGAACCTACTGTGCGTGCTCCTTAGAAGACAGTGGGCATGATCTGCTGCTCCATGGCAACATCCTCATTTGCTAAACGTGGAAACAAGGGCTGGGCGTGGCTGGGGGAGGGGACTCCATGGGTAAAGGGCCTGGTGTGTAAGCATAAGGACCAGAGTTCAGATCCCCAGCACCCATGTGAAAAGCCAGGCATAGTGGCACATGTCTGTGACCCCAGGACCGGGGGGGG